GATCCTACACACTATTTGGCATCTAGAACACAAAGCAGTCAGAACTCCCAACGCAGTTTATGGGATCAACAAATTAGTCTACAGAAGGTATTGCACATATCGACTAGCCAATGATGTAGAGAACACAGTGCACAGTTGGATCTCCAAACACAGTCTGGACACAGTCTGGTGCAGAGAACACAACACAGTTTCACCAATTCGGTGAGAAAACAGTGCAAAGAAGATCTGTGAACAGATGACATCACATTAGATTTTGTGAATTAAAACACATCATCTTGGTTTCTAGAAAACAAATGTTTCAAAAGGGGCAAATAAATAAATAAATAAATAAATAAATAAACAAACCTGAGGGTTCTTAATGTTTTATGGATTATTTTGCCATCTCTTGGGTTAGGTTATGGTTAAAATTTAGATGGAACAGCAGTAGATTACAAATGTCTTTGGAACCTCTGAGTGAACAGTGAAATCTGTGCACACACAGATTTTAGGTGATGCTCTGTTTAAAAACTTCTCTCTTCCTAGTCAATGGTTCACTGGAAAAAGCCACAGGTATTACTATTAACATCAGTATGAAATCAGTAGTAATGTACAAAGCTACTGAAGGATTCTCCTGATGTTACATTTAAGAACTAAACACTTCATCTAAATGATGGCAAACAGTTATTTTTTTTTAAATAGATTAGATAAAGAAAACATCTGTTAAACTGGGTTTAAGAGAAATGACCAATGAGATCAATAGATGTATTGACCTAAAACTGATCAAATGAATATTAATCTATTTAAACTATTTGCTTTGTGGTATGTACAGCCATATGTCTGTGCATTTTAAGTTTATTTTTAATCAATTTAAATCAACTTTGATATGACTCTATCAGTGAGTTTCATAGATATATTTGTCTATTAAAATGACTAATAATACATTTAAAATGAGTAAAATAAGTATAATAAACAGAATCACTATTTTCAAAAGTAAAGCCTGTAGAATATCAGCAATCTGAAGCATTTTGTTTTAAGGCAAGCTTGATACAGTGACGTCAAGCACTGAGATTTACTATCATTTATTTTTACAAAAAAAGTTAACGTACAAAAATGCGTCCTGTTTAACAGAAGTCGTCTCATTTCTAATCTGAATTGACGTCATAAGAACCGTTCAGTGAGTGAACGTTTGGCTAGAAATTTATTCTAAAATAAATTAATCTAAAAAAAACTTCAGAACGTGTGTAATAATGTGTAAATGGATGTTATTATTTTACAGTAACTGAACTTCACAATACAGAACACTAAACAGGCATTTACTCCCATAAATAAAGACAAAACTGTGGAAATAAAAAACAGGATATTACAAAAATAATAATGATGGTGGAATTAAGGTGGAATTAAGGTGGAATGGAAAAATTCACGTAAGAAGATTGAGGCGCAAGGCTTTAACTGCTTATCATTTAAGGTGGAACAGAAAACAAATAGGAATGAAACTTAAGGATGGTAAGAAGACTAAACCGTTTTCGGGGGAATACAGATGTTTCCTTCATGAAGGACGTTCCACCCACCCAGTAGCTCGGCCAAGGAGAGATGGAATGAAACTACTGTCACGTCCCAGACAGCGAGCATATATCGGTCCACTGGCTTGATAAGGTCGGCATCCCGCCGGCTATTTGCCACTGCTGGTCCACCCTCGGACAACCCAGATTATTGTCCTGCATCCAAGCTCTAACTAGTTTTTAATCATCTCAAACAATTTTAAATACACAGAGCTTTTCTTTTTAGATAAATACATTAAGACAAATATTACAACCAACTAAGAGGAAAATAAATAATGACTGGGCCTGATGTGAAATGATTTTATAGAAAATGTTGTTGCTGACACTGTTAAAATTATTTTACTGATAAAAATGATTTGATAAACTAATTTATAATGTATAATGTATGAGTAGAAACTCTGCTTAACCACCGGTGGGCCGCCCAGAAAACGCTGAGCAAAACACCAGTGGACCATCAGCTTTGCCATCAGCGGGCCAACAGTGGCCCACAATCCTTTTGCTATCAGGGGTCTCTTTAATTCCCCGCTCTTCCTCAGCGCTCCTACAAACTGAGATTGATCTCTGTGGGAAATTAAACAACCACTAAACCACGCTCACCGCGCGCACAGATTAAGGCCTCAAGGCCGCGCGCAGTCACTAGATTTTCCCGCGTTGCGCTTCAGTGCTGCAAAACGCGCCAAAATTACCAGAATAAAAAACAAGCGCCGAGCTGAAGTTGGTCTTCTTATCCCAGATTTCCGTTCCACCTTAAATGGTAAGCAGATGCAATCTGATGCCTCCGGCACCGTTTAAGGTGCGACAGAATTGAAGGTGTAATGAAAAATTTGACATAAGAAGCTTGAGGTGCTACAATGTAACTGCTGACCATTTAAGGTGGAATGGAAAATTCAAACAGGAATTTAATTTAAGCCTCTTAAGAAGACTTTTCGCGGGAAACTCAGAAAAACATCCTCACTGTTCTGCTGAAAATCACAGCTCGGTTCTGCACTGACACTATTCAGAGAACCCAACAGACTTAAAGTGGAGGCGAGTTCGTTACAGAGAGCAGCAGCGCAGGTCCTACCTACTGAACATCCAGCAGAAATGAGTGGAACGCCGGCCCTCCACATCTGTATATGTACCGTTTCCAGCTTCCCATAATGCACTACCACTGTATCACGTGTTCTATTAAAACGCTATTTATTTATTTTTTAAATCCAATATTGTACTGTAGGTAATTCTTTAAGTTTTTAAGGGGTGTTATTTGTTTTTTTTTTGTTTTTTATTTGTTTTATATTAAAATTATTATTTTTCTGCTGCTCTAAAAAATAAAAAACGCATTTCTTTCGAAGCTGTGCATTGTGGAAAGGTGTAAGTAATATATGAACGTTAAGGCATCGAAGCTTTCTTTACCTTTTCAAAGCCTGTTGATTCTCATGGTGAATCAATGCTTGTATCAAAGTTACTGTTTTCGCATTACTATGAAGTCAAAATGAACAGGAGTGCTGGTTGCTGGATTTGAACCAATCCATGTCATGGCTTGGGACATCAAGGAGAATTTCGGAACTAAATTTTGCTGCTCTAATCAGGTCACAATATCTCAGCTACTTTTAAAAACATAAGAAATGCTTATTACATTTTACTGCACTGATTGTAATGCTCGTTTGTATTAATTCAAATGTTATATTGTGTTTTTACAGACAACTCAAATGTACGGACTTTGGTCTCTTACCTTGCAAAGTTTTGCAGTTTTGTGAGTGCATTTCTTAACCATATTCCATGTTCTTGTTCAGCAATGTCTCTTGTTTTAACCATTTTTCTGTTTTGTTGGATTTTGATCGTAATTTGCCTAGTTTGTGCCTGCTTGCCGGTGTACTAACCCTTCCTCTGAGTCAGTTTGTCCCTAATAAAGCGGGTCTGTGCATGTATACTGCCGCAACACCCCATTTGTTTTAACACATCTAGCAAATTTATAAAAACCTATAAATTTCAAGATTTTAATATTTTTAATTGTTTAATTTTGAATAATTATTAAATGACTACTTTGACAAACTGTTGACATGAAGATGTACAGATCTGTAATCACCTTTAGTGTACTTAGGCACATCTCATAAAGCTTGGTTTGGAAAACATGCAACATATATACGGAGTTTTAGGGGCACGTTATGCAAAGCTGCACCGGGCATTTTAATTTTTGGTAATACATTTTAGCTATGACACACCTACATGAAACATTTTGCAGTCCTACTAGAATATTTAATATACAATCACTACAATTTTTCTGAAATACATTTCTTAAGCATACTAAAAACTTTAGCAGTATACTGTAGAAGAATTAGTTTGTTTCTAGAACAAATAATTTGTCGCACATGAACAACATACAGTAGTCTGATTTTCATTATTATTTAATGAATGAAGTGTTGCTGAGACACACACGTGACAAAAAAATTATATTCATCTTTAAAAAAACCAAAAACAAAGAAATAAACCTAACAACAAAGGTGTATCCAGTCTACCTTAAGTACAAACTGCCATCAATGCATACAAAGAATGTGCAGAATTAAAATAAATATATTCTGGGGTAGGAATTGCTGGACAGCTGACTAAACACTAAACTAACAATTCATTAACAATTAAGAATTAGTTTTTGCAATGTTTCTATTTAAAAAAACACTCATGGTAGATATCTTCCTGAACTACTTCTTTTTACACATCTGTTTCACCCATTTCACATTGCCTTGTTGTTTCCTCATCTGAAACAGCATCTGGTGACATTCCAAGACAGTCTGCCCGAACTAACTTTTACCATTTCCAAATTCTAATTAGCCAAATAGAAGAAAATGTGTGATAACAGAAGCACCAAGTTAACATTTTGAATTCAAGCACTTTAAAGTTTTACCACAATAATTTTCTGAAAATCCCTTAAAAAGACACATAAGTGAAACTAATGTAAACTAGAAAGATAATCTAACTAGTGCATATTTTACCAAACTAAAGGTTGTAGTATGTTTGTCAGGCATGTCTCTGTACACTACAATTGATATTAGATGTGTAAGTCATAAGGATGTCTCACAGTACTAATTTGTTTTGATTTTAAATTTCATTAAAATTAAGGCATATCTTATCAAACCAAAGCTTGTATTTTATTTGTATGTTTAAGTAATTAAGTACGAGTGATTTTCTTTTGCAGTAGGTTTGTGCAGTGTCTCAGTGTTCTATTCTGTGAAAGTAGCAGGTTTAAAATAACGGCTTAAAGCATGATACAATTTCACCAAGTCATGTTGGTAACATTTTTCAAAACTAGAATGTGCTATACGGTTGTGACAATTCAATTTGTACCCAATATCAACCTCACTTTACCAAGCTGTATGGGTAGGGGGTGAAATGGGATTGGGCCAAAGTTATATTGTTAAAATTTAAAACACAGGACAGATCACAACATATTAATTCAAAGTGAGTTTATTAAAACCAACAGAACAGTATGCAAAACACACACCCACACACACACAAAAACTATTTAGCCTTAGTAGTCACACTCAGGGGGCAAGTCCACAGTCAGCTCATTGATAGTTTCTAGGAAAGCTTCCAGGTCATCTCTGCAGTACTCTGTGTAAACAGATCATTTAAAACACATCATTCAATTGCCTCGTCAATAAGCCCGTTGTCTAGACATGAATAATATGATCTAATACCTGAAGGCATCTTAAGAGGTGACTGTGGCAAACATGGATCCATGATAAAATCCTCCTCAAGTGAACTTGGGGACCACTGTTGTCTTCCCAAACCAGCCAACGAGAAGCGACTGAGGCAGACTTCCTCTGGTACACTGTATACTTCAAAGTCTGAAAATGATTCATTAAGGAAAAAAGTCACTTGTAAGCCAAGAATCAGAGTAATGTTTAAGTATTTTTGTAAAAGACCTACCACTTGGGTTGAATGGAAAGCACTTCTCAATCTCTGGATAGTCTTCACAAGCTGGCTGAGGGGGTACTTTACACTGCTATTAAAAAAAATAATAAAAGGAAAGGTGTTCAGGAATTTTGGAAAGAGAGCTTGGAATAACATGATATTTTAGTAACTAACCTGTGCTCCAAGAGGTTTACTGTGTGCTTCACCCTTATGAGAGACTGCTGGGGTGGATACAATCTTGTTGACTGTTCCCAGAGCTTTACGGGCTGATTGTACAGGAGCTCCAAGCTTCTTCACATGGAGTGGAGTTTTCAGAAGCTGTTCTATAAAAGTAACCAACCATACATACTTTACTACTGGATTCTTTAATTCTGGCGCTGAGGGAAGTGGAATCTACCACAGTTTGGTTTCAGACAGACCACCCCATTTCACATTAAGCCAATCTAAAAGACTGTTTACATCTGAACCACTGAATTATACGTAAGTTTTGAAATACCGGTGGAATTCCCTTTTAGGTAAAACAGCAAAGCGTACATACTCGACACAAATGAGGCAAACTTAATTAAAAGGGGAGCAAGTATAGAACTCAACCAAAGTGAGCTTACCAGGAGCTGACTGAAGTCTCTGTCGAGATTTGATAGTTGGAGCTGTGAGTCTGCCATTTTCTTGGTCGAGGTAAATCAGGGCATCCATGGTTTCTCACAGTCTAACAAAAGACAGATTTGTAACTAGTAAGCAACAACAGCTTACATAGTCGTAGGTTTTAGCGGACATAGTTCACAGCAAATGTTTACCCAAGAATTTCAGTTGTTTTCCTGTTGGGAAAAGAGTTCTGTGGCGAACCAATTCCACTGAATGTAGCTAACGTTACATGTTAATATGGGCAAACTCTGGTCGCCCTGCTGAACGAAAACCACCGCTTCTTAAGTACAAGTAACTTAGAAGCTGCGAGAATAATTAAGCTATAACGTTAGACCGTAACATTACAGGAAAACGGGGTTGTGACGCATTTAGCGCAGTTTAACAGTAAACTGCAAGTGGTTCATGTAGCTAAGCTAGCTAACAGTTAGCTGGCTGTTACGGCAGCACTGTTGTCATAACCTGGTGAAAGTACTTACCCAGTTTGATTACTAACCCCGTTAAACGACTTGATGCCAGACAGACAAACAATTTGGTCATAAAACGTGCCTGACGACTCACCACGAACTGTGCGAAGGCTCTCCTTAACCGTGCACACAGTTTAGCCTGATAAATCTGCTTTCCAGAGCAAAACGAGTTTGTTTTGATTTCAAGTTTCCCTGTTTTAAAAGGCAACCGACCTTCTGATTGGCTCCTGCGCTTCCTCCTTTTCTTCTGTAGTACTCCTGATTCAGTTCCTCTTTGTAACACTGCCGCCGTGTGGTCAAAACAGGCTATTTAGCGTTTAACGCAAGTAAAATAATGTAGTAGTGTAAGACAAAAGAATAACTAAATAAGTAATCAAATAAATAGATGACAATTATATTATTAAAGAGAAATAATTATAAGTAAACATATAAACAATTATAAAATAAAAAATAGGCAAATCATTTAGCAAATAAATAAATGAATTTAATATAATAAATAAACAAGTAGATGCAATTGTAGCCTATACAGAAGCGCACAGAAAGTAGTTTTTTCAACATACTCAAATGCATTTTTACTTCAACAACATACACATGGAATTTATATGACAATAACAATCAGATTCCAGTTGTCTCATCTTGCAGAAAAATAAATAATATAAATAAAATTCTTCCTTTTAACAATGTAGAGACATGAAGGCCATTACATATGAAATGGAAACCAACAACTATGTCACCGAATGTTGTAATCCGACGACTTGTTTTGGGTGTTGATTTATGTGATCACTACATTGTTTGTCGAGTACGGGTCCAGCTCAGCATTACAGGGCACTTAAGACTGGAGTGTTTGTTATAGCAGTGCATTCAGTCCTTGCAGTCACCAGGTTCCTTAGGCCATTGTGAGTAGATGAGTCTAGTATGTCAGTTCTGTTAAATGAACAGGTAATACAGCCAGTAAAAGATATTGACCAGAAGGAATGCCATGGGAAATAAGGTGCGCGCATGCCTATCGATATTGTGGGGATTTTCGACACTCATCATGGACACTGCTCTGCGTGACACCTGCTTAACAGAGGACAGGCCACAGCTATTCCCTTGCTTCTTCTCTGTTTGCTCATCTCCTTCTGGTTGCACGGACTGGTCAGTCATCTCCTCCTGAGTTTCTTGATTCAGGCCCTTGTTGGGTGTTGTGGAAGTAACTAACTGGATGGAGCCATTGCCGTTCGACTCATCAAACTCCTTCAGCAGCTCCTGAAACAAAATGAATAACAATAGTTAGAATAGTATTTATAGAATAGTATTTAGTGCATTACAATGCAGGTAAATGCATTGTAATAACACTTCTTAAAGTACTTTTCACTTTCACGTTTATATCTATCATGTTATTGGCAGAAAAATATCCATGATGGATTTACTTTTGTATGCTTATTTTTATTTTATTTGTATTTATTTTATTTATGACATATTATTCATTTAGGTAGCCAATTTAGTATTTTAAAGATTATTTTGGTTTACTATGTTTACTTTAGCAAAAAAAAGTTTACTTTAGAGGAATGTCAAAGAACATTTTAGATTTTCCCAACAATCGTTTTACAGTTGAGCCTTTGCAACAACAACAACAAAAACAACAGTATGTCATACTTTTTGTAAAAATCAAAAAAGTGTGGTATGGCATTGTTTAATGTCTTGTATTTAAAATAAAGGGATCACTAAAACATAAATAAAGCACTGTTTGGCTTTTTAATGTAAAAAATAAAAAATAAAATAACTAATAATCCAAAGAAGGATGTCATGGTTAATATGTGGCACACCAAGCCAACGTTTGTGTTTGCTGATGTTAGTTTGGTCATGTGCCGATGTCTTGATATCTACATGCAGTTCATTCTGCGAACCTCCTTTATCTCAGAGATGCTGTATTGAGATGTAGGGACTTTACAGGTTATTGTAAACTGAAGGTATAGTCATGTTTGTGAAATCAGCTTGAGATAATAGCATTATTTTGCTGAATGTATTTGTGAAAGGCTAGAAGGTGACCATCATGAAGTTTAGAGTCTGGCTTTTGGGCCACGGGTCACCTTCAACTGCCAAAATATTTAATACATATTATGGGCTCATACAATCGCTGAATTTTTTGTGGTTGTCCCTGCCTCATCCCTGCCTGAGCTGCTAGACTTAGTAACTTTTGAGACCTTTTTCACTTTATATATATTAAAAAAATATCTAAAAAGCGATAAGTGACAAGTCTTGCAAGGGGAAAGCAATAAATATAAATCTTTTACAGGACCTTTGTAATTTATTCTCATGCATGCTGCTCACAATAACGTTAACATCATTCTCAGTCTGCAGCTCCTCTGGCAGCAGTGTCTTTCTCTTTCTCCTCGCACCGTGTGCACAGGAGTGAGTTTAAATGGTTATGGGGAACAGCGGCAATGATTATGTGCGGGGTGGTGCTGACATCTATTTAACCATTGTGACCATTTTCTTTATTGAGTGTTCCATAGTTTATCATACAGTGGAGGAAATAAGTATTTGATCCCCCATTGATTTTGAAAGTTTGTACTCTGACAAATAATTAAACAGTCTAAGATTTTTATGGTAGCTTCATTTTAACAGTGAGAGATGGAATATCAAAAAGAAAATCTAGAAAATTAAATAATATTTAAATAAAAAATAATTTGCATTTTGTTGAGGGAAATAAGTATTTGATCCCCTAAAAACCATGACTAACGTCGGCTCCCACAGACCACTGACACACCCTAATCTCAGTGAAGTCGTTACCTGCATGAAAGACACCTGTTCCAAATTGTCACCTGTATAAAAGGCCACCTGCCAACAGACTCAGTGACACTCCAACATCTCCACCATGGGCAAGACTAAAGAGCTGTCTAAAGATGTCAGGGACAAAATTGTTGACCTATACAAGGCTGGAATGGGCTACAAAGCCATAAGTAAGAAGCTGGATGAGAAGGTGACAACTGTTGGCGCAATTATTCGGAAGTGGAAGAAGTACAACATTACTGTCAATCGACCTAGGCCTGGAGCTCCATGCAAGATATCACCTCGTGGAGTCTCATTGATCATGAGAAAGGCTAAAAATCAGCCAAGAACTACACGGGAGGAGCTGGTTAATGATCTCAAGGCAGCTGGGACCACAGTCTCCAAAAAAAACATTGGTAATACACTGAGACGTAATGGTTTAAAATCCTGCAGTGCACGCCAGGTTCCTCTGCTCAAGAAGGCTCACGTCCAGGCCCACCTCAAGTTTGCCAATGAACATATTAATGACTCAGAGAGAGACTGGGAGAAGGTGCTGTGGTCAGATGAGACCAAAATTAAGCTCTTTGGCCTCAACTCAACTCGATGTGTTTGGAGGAAGAAAAATACAGAATATGACCCTAAGAACACCATCCCCACCGTCAAGCATGGTGGTGGAAGTATTATGTTTTGGGGGTGTTTTTCTTCTAAGGGCACAGGCCAACTTCACCACATCAACGGGAAGATGAACGGGGCCATGTATCGCAAAATCCTGGGTGACAACCTCCTTACCTCCGTCAGGGCACTGAAAATGGGTCGTGGATGGGTCTTCCAGCACGACAACGACCCAAAACATACAGCCAAGGAAACAAAGGAGTGGCTTCATAAGAAGCATTTCAAGGTCATGGAATAGCCTAGCCAGTCTCCTGACCTCAATCCCATAGAAAATCTATGGAGAGAGCTGAAGCTTTGCGTTTCCAAATGCATGCCCAAAAACCTTAAGGATTTGGAGATGATCTGCAGAGAGGAGTGAGCCAAAATTACTCCTGAAGTGTGTGCAAACCTTATAAAAAACTACAAGAAACGTCTGACTGCTGTGCTTGCCAACAAGGGTTTCGCCACCAAGTATTAAATGATGTTTTACTAGGGGGTCAAATACTTATTTCCTTCAATGAAATTCAAATTAATTTTTATATCTCATTTCATGTAATTTTCTCAGTTTTTCTTTTGATATTCTATGTGTCACTGTTAAAATAAAGCTGGCATAAAATTATGAGACGTTTCATTTATTTTTTTGTATTAAAACTTTTAAAGTCAGTGGGGGATCAAATACTTATTTCCTCCACTGTAGCATCATTCAGCACGGTAGGCTACTGTATGATTTTCTTTACAAAGTTACTTAGTTAGTACCCAATTTTATCAGTTGGCCTTCACCATAGTTTATTGCAGTACAACAGTTACCATGGTCAAAGTACATGAAACTGGAACTGTCCCCCTTTTTTAGTTTATAAATAAAAACATTGGACATTTTAATGATACGTTGACTGCCGAACTGGAAATGTCCCCGGTTTTCATTTCAGAAATCTGGTCATCTTACTATTGAGTGCTGATGGTGAGTGGAGCAGCTCATTGAAGAGGTTCACACTCACTGACGTTATGAATGTACACAAGGTGCTGTTAAAAAGTCCTTTAACTGGAGTTAAAAAGTGCTCAAAAATATAACAGCAGTGTTAAAATGTTTCAGGAAATGAATGTGTTCTTCTATATAAAAAAAGTTAAATCATTTACAAACTATGATTTTGGTCAGATGCCCCATATTAACCCATTCATTATGGACTTGCTTGGGAGCGCCCTCTAGTGTTTGACAAACACAGAAGACATTACTGAGTGGCAACAGAAATTCTTTGTGGTGTGTGGGAGTAGAAATCTTCCTAAAGTCTGTTATGCTAATTTAGACCTGTGAGAGCTGTTATCATGCCAGATTTTAGTCTTTTTTATTTTATTATTTTATCAAAATATTATAGTTATAATTGGTAGTAGTAGTAGTACTTGTTGTAGTATGACAGAAAATATGTGTATTGACAAAAAGTGGGTATCCATCATGCGCTACAGGCATGGGGACTATGTTAATTTGTCACTCTGTACAGTAGTGGTCCCTCTTCTCCTGGAGATCTGCTTTCCGGCAGAGTATACTTCCAACCTGCATCTAACATGCATCTGATCCTGCTAATCAAGGACTTCTGAAGAAATTATTTGGCTGGAGCAGAGGTGGCAGATTGTTTTTGAAAATAGGACTTTTTGGACCAGGGTTTATGACTACTGCTTTGAGACAACATGCAGCCGATGATGGTCGAGCAAAACTAGGCCTGCCTAGTCTAGTTTTGTTTATTGTACTCTTTCCTGTAAACACCAGTATCCTCTGAGAGTTTGTAAGATGCTTGAACCACTATGTCTGGCACCAACAAGATCACATATAGTGCTCTGAAAAAGGATTTGGCCCTCAACTAATTTGTCTCATTTAAATATTTCAGATCATGAACTGTTCGTTTAAAGTCTTGCCACAGCTTCTTAATTGGATTCAAGTCAGAACTTTGACTCGGCCACTCCAAAACCTTGTTTCCATTGTGCCATTCAGAGTTGGACTTACTTGTATGCTTCAAATCATTGTCCTGCTGCATAAGCCAACTGCACTTGAGCTTTAGGTCAAGAACTGATAGGCGGACATTCTCCTTCAGGATTTTCTGATAGAGAGCAGAATTCATGGTTCCATCAATTATAACAAGACGTCCAAGTCCTGCAGAAGCAAAGCAGCCCCAGACCATCACACTACTACCACCATGTTTGACTGCTGGAACGAGGATCTCATGGTGGAATGTGGTGTTAACTTTATGTAACGGAACTCATGTTTTCCAAAAAGTTCTACCTTCTACCTTTTGAAATATTATCCCAAAAGTCGTGGGGCTTATCTAGATATTTTTTGGCAAATGCAAGATGACTTTAACTGAGGCAAGTGAGGCCGCAAATGGGTTCTGTGGTGGCCTCCTGGATGAAATGTTGGTAGGCTGGCCACTCCAGGGAAGGTTCACCACTGTTCCAAGTTTTCTCTATTTGTGGATAATGGCTTTCATTGTGGTTCACTGAAGTAGCAGAGCCTTAGCAATGGCTTTGTAACCATTTCCTGACTGGTAGGTTTAATTTGGTTAACTAGTTGACGTAGTAGCTAAGGGGGCAATTACTTTTTCACACAGGGCCAGGTAGGCCTGAGCAGCATTTTGCCTTCAACAAATAAAATCATCATTTAAAAAGAGCATTTTGTTTTTATTTGGGTTATCTTTGTCTAATATTTAAAGTAGTTTAATGATCTTAAACATTCAAATGTGACAAATATGCAAATACTTTTTACAGCACTGCAGCTTGACATTCTAATGTTTGTTCTAAGAGTAACCGTAACCTGACTTTATTCTAATTGTGAGAACTTCTAATAGTAAGTTAACATAGCAACTTATTTAGGGTTCAGTTAAATGCAAATTTTTAAGGCAGCCGGGTTACTTACTTTTTCAAATTAAAACACCTTTTTTTTACAGTGTGATCTACTATTTGGTGGAACTAACTATTTGCAGGTGTAACTAATAAAGTGAGCACTGAGTGTATAAAATATAGTAAATATGATATGTCACTTACATAGGCCACTATATTATAAGATTTCTATTTATCAGATGCTATTTTGATATATTTAGGTATATATATTTAAAAAAATTGAAAATATTACATTATAGTTTTTGAAAGAGATTGTACACAAAATACTTACTCTTTGTACATCTATAATTGTTTGGTGCTGCATAGTACAGAAATGGGCACAGGCGTACTCCAGCAGAGCTCCAAAAATGAAAGTGAAGCATATGCCGAGGTAGACGTCTATGGCCTTGATGAAGCAGTTGGCATTGGGCAGTGAGGTCCTGGCACCCATCATCAGCGTTGTCATTGTTAGAACAGTGGTCACCCCTGTTGAACACAAAGATCGTATTGAACAAGTTGGTCTTTGATCAGGTTGTTGTTAAGGCCATGTTTGTTCTGTCTTTGAGGCTGTGTTGAGTGTGGAAAGGTGACAGTAGCATACACAGTTCTGTCTGTGCAGCTAGGTCGCTCACTTTTGTATCTTTCATTAAATTAAGCAAGCCTGGGGTCGTGAAAGGCGCTGGTCATAATACATTTTTACATGCCAGTTTTCCAGCCTCTCTTTATACCTCATAATTAAACAGGCTGTTTTTGTTGCTGTACCTTTAAGACTAATATATGTAAATGACCTCTGTTCTAATTGTCTTGTGCCTCATTCAAAAAACAATGAATTCAAAATTGGTTGTTTCTGCAGCTCAGCCTATTTTTTTTTTTTTTCAAAAAAGCAAGACAAATTCCATTTTAAATGAGATGAGCACTTTACCACAGTTACAACTCAAGGCTCATGCTTTTTCCATGCCTTTTGTAAATTTGCCCCCATTTCAGTACTTTGAGCAGCATATATAAAATATTGGTTGGCAAATGTGATCATTTGTATACTGTATACTTGTATACAACAATAAATGTGAAAGCACTTTTTGCGCATTTAATGCAGAAATAATGCAGTGATTATACAAAAATGCAAGCCCTTGCAAATATTGCAATCACAAATACTGGTGATCACAAATTCCTGGAGGGACCGATCAGCTTATAAACACAAGCACAGCTATCTGAAAGAAGGATGACAAAACTAGCATAAAGCAGATCAACAGTGAATTGACTTTCTTCACAAAAGAACCGTGACAGAGAGAAGTGAATGAGAAAATAGAAGAGATGTGAATAAGCAAATAGAGGAGAAGTGGATGAGAAAATGGAGGAGGTGTGAATAAGCCAAATGAAGGAGAAGTAGATGAGAAAAAGGAGGAGGATGGGTTGAGAAAATACAAGACATGTGAATGAACAAATAGAAGAGATAGGATACAGAAATGGAAGAGAAGTGGATGCAAAATGGAAGAGGTTAAAAGTACTGCCTGACCAATGCAGGTACGAGCAGGGACTGAAGACTGGCTGATCCAGAAAGACACCCAGGACAGAACCACCAGCAGAGTGGAGGGCACGTAGGTCTCCAGGATGAAGAATAGAACGTTCCTGCGCAGAGAAAAGTGCAGCACCAGCTTTGGGTAACAACCTGCACAAATACAAATGCACAGGATCAGCACAGCACCAGAACGGAGACACTAGAATGGAAAAAGTAGAAGACAAGCAAATATTAAACACCCACATAATAGAGATATCATTAACTGTAAATGTAGTCCATGAAATATATAGAGTACCTGTCTCGTACACTGCCTCAGACACTGAGGTGTAGTAGCTCTCCACACTGTACTGAGCCAGACGGAGAGTGTCCAAACCCTTCACTGAGTCATTCCCTCGAGTCCAGTAAAACACTACATCCTGCAGATTATAGCCCCCTGACCACATACACAAACATAAATCATATGCAGTGTTAAAGGCTTCAAATACTGTACACTATTTCAGTTTAATAGAATATCAAGGGTAGAATAAAACTACAATTCTGTTTTATTTTACCCCTTTATCACTTTATTTATGATAACAAAAGCATGTTGTAATTCCATGTTCGTTATTTATTACTTGCAGATCTTTGAGACTTGCTAAGCGACACTAAGCTTGCATGTTCATAAGTAGAAAATAGAAATTTTGCAATGATTTGAATTTGATGGAAAGGTATTGTTGTGTGCATTCTTCTTTTATGAAAAAAAAAACATCCTTTACATTTTTGCTATGTTTTAAACTTTGAAAAAAATTGGAAAAAGTCTGAAGCGCAAACTCAAACCTGTCAATGACAAAATAAATGGAAGTAAATGGAACGTAATTCAACTATGGATTAATATTCATTACTTAAAGATAACATTGTTTTTCCATAGTACAGCAAGATGACTGCATTAACCCTGGATTTCTAATGGGGTTAAGGGGAATTCCAGTGATTTGTTTTTAAATACTACTTATTTAAATTGTTAAGATGGAAACAAAGTCACAGGGTGTCAAGGATTGTTCACAGTAGTGGTGATTCGAACAGTGTGCGAAATACCCCCTGGTATTCAGGGGGTCCCATGTTTGCTGGCTACAGTTGCTAAGGCATGAGAGACCAGGTGGGTGAACCAATATGCTACAGCGCCACCCTGAGGCAGACCAAGACGGAAGCTTGTGTCTATCTCACATCATAATATGTTCATTTCCAGGGAATTCCCAGAATTTTGATTTTGAGACATACATAGGGTCCAAGAGATTAATTAGGGGTCCCAGACAACCCAGGACCCCCTGTATTTCACACTTTGGATAGGAACCAGATTACTATGCCTTTTATTTATTTAATGCCTTTAAAAGAAAGTTATTACATGAATTTGTTGCAAATATGTTGCCTGGTCTGAAAATTTGTTTTAGGATGATTTTGAAATAAGATTTTGGAATTAGAACATATTTTTAAAAAAACATTCATAGTTTAGAGGTACAGGGGCATTGTAAGCCAAAACGTTATTAAAGAAAACTATTTTTTTCATTTCATTTCATTGCATATTAAAACTCAGAAGACATGACTCTGTAAGTTTATCTATAGTACATCATAATACATCAAACCACTCTGAGTGACTTTGTGTAAATCTAAACAACTGAATGCAGAATTTTTTCCTTTAATGAAAACTGACACTGCAGACACTCACAGCTCTCCAGCTGCAGGGTGCACACTTGTCTGTCCATTGGGTACTTGGTAAGATCCATGTTGCAGGCAATGGTAGCTGTGATTCTGTGCAGAGATAAAGAGAGAAAAGGCTTTGCATGCTTTCTCTTAGTGTCTGATTTTAGTGATCAAAACAGGATTAAGACTGATAGACGACGGCTAATACAAGACCAAACAGACAATGCTCTAGATATCCTGAGGCTTCAGTACACTTCAGCAGGTTCACCTCTTTTCCACTGAAGTACCTCTACTATCTCTGCTTTCCTAGGCCTGAGTCAGTGCTTACCGCAGAGCATAGAGTACAGTGCCATTGCTGAAGATTCGGATGAGTCTGTTATCCACAGTGACGTCATGAAGGAAAGAACGTTTGGAATCAGGAATGAAGGTGTCGGGGATCCAAAGCAGAGAAACCAGACGTCCATCCAAGCTCAAGCTTTCATTTCCAGGAAATATCAACCGTGAGTCCCGCCAACGCTGCCTCAGGAATATAGTAGCTGTATAGTCCTAATGTGGATGTTTTGCATACAAACAAGAAAATAAATCCAGTACTTGCAAACTGCCATTTAGGAAACTGTACACGGCTCAATCTGATGAAGGGTAAAGAGAATGTACTCTACCATATTGATCTCTGAGATGGCATCAATGCTGGCAATATCCAGACTCATCCCGATTTCAACAGGACCACCTGTGGAATGTGAAATTTAGATAGAAGTTGTGGTTAAAGAAGTTAAAGTTATAGTGATAGAAGTTATGGCTAAACAGATATGGCTGTAAGTTTATACACAACAGCTCAGAGGTTTTGAATGATTTTCTTTTGTTTCATTTTGTTTTTTTGTTTTTTTTAATTATTTTAGTTATTTATATCTCCCAAAATATCAGGTGGTGCAACCATACCATATATGCAGATTATGTCAATTATTAAAAAAAGGTAATTTAAATGTATAAATAAATAAAATAGTTTGGCTTTGTTTTATGGTTGAATGCTTTAAATCATATATACGTATGTTTTTTAAATGGCAATTTTTAAATATTCAGCTATATATTCTTATTTCTTAATGTCATTGGCACAACTGACAACAAAGGATGTTTTTTTTGAATGAACGTGCAGGGTCTTGCACCATAAAAAAGACCCCAATTGACTTTCATGATGCAAACCCATGCCATTTTTGAGTCCCAGTTAGGCTGGGTCCCAGTTAGGCTGATAAGGTCTGTCAGTGTGACCCCAGTAAAACCATAGATGTGTTATTATTATAATAATGTTTCTTTATTTGAACAAAAACAAAGAATGTATAACCTCCAGTTCAAGGACAGATTTATATGGGTGTCCAAGTGCAAAGACTGTATGTACACATTTTCAGTAGTGGTACTTTAAAAACAGTAATAAAAAAAACTTATATAAATATATTTATTAATGTGTGGTTGTGCCACACGACATTTTCTGTGATCCTGTTTAAAAAAAAATTCAACCACTATAAAAACAGAACTGTGAAACAAATATGAATACATTAAATTACAAATATGCAGTTTTTTTCTGTGTGTGTTACCTGAAGGCTTTAATTTTTAAAAGCCTTATTTGTCACTAACTTGTTACATCTACATTTCCTAAAGTATTATTGTATTTAAAATAAGAAAAAGTATCCACATTGACAGCTAAATTGTGAAAGTTTACTTTCTCCTCTTAGTGTAAACTGTGAGTGCTACACATTTGGGTGTCCTGCCATGACTCACCATTGAAATTCGGCCTGAGGTAGCGATTGTAGCCTTTCATCAGTTTCTGGATGGTGGGCTGCAGCTGAGACTCGTTCCATTCTCCAAAATGAATCCCATGAATGCCTTTCTCACTGAGAGAGTGAAAGTGAGAGAAAGAGGGAGAGAGAAACATGTTAAGATTCATAGCTGAGAGCACACTATTTCTACACGTGTCTGAAATAATGCAATGACTCACCAGTTCACAGAAGTTACAAGGAGGCCCAAGCAAATGAAAAGTGGAATAAGCATCATTTGTGAGTGACGGACAGCACCTGCCTAGAGGAGAGCACTCTACGTTACCAGTGTGATATACATTATACAGTCATATGCAAAGGTTTGAGCACTTCCAGTCAAACTATGTGTTTTGTTGAAGTGAAAATAAGCACATCAGTATATGGAGCCATCTACAGCACGTTCTCCATCAATCTAAAGAACCATTTCACCTTGTGAATAACCATTAAAGTATAAATTGGTTCTATATAGAGCTCATGGTTCCAAATAAAACCATTCCCTTTACAAAAGAACCCTTGAAGAGCCATCTTTTTTGAGAGTGTAGTTCATTGTAATATTGAAGTAACCTGACAAGTGCAAGTTTCCTTTATTGCAACGTCTTGCCACAAGATGGCAGCACTACATCAAGGCGATGTGCATCTACAACCTTGCGGCAATTTACCGTTTCATTTAAGGCTTCTTCTGAGTCAGTTGTTTTTCATGTACGCTGGAGGAGCTGATTGCAGTGCCTGAGGGCAAATCACACAAGCTCCTGTGGAGCTTTAAACAGGCAGTTCTCTAGTTTCGTATCGATTAGGAATCAGAGCAGTTTGCCACCACTCTTTTCTTTTTTGATGATAGTATTGTAATATTATAAGGCGTCCGAGTATCTTTCACCCTATTCTCTCTCTCTCTTTCTTTCTCTCTCCCTTTCTCTCTCTCTCTCGCTCTCTCTCTCTCTCTCTTCCTCCCTCTCTCTCACCCTCTCATTCTCTCTCCTCCTTTCCCTGTTTCACATTCTCTCCATCTTGTTTGCATTTTCTTTGTTTTGCTCATTCACCGTCTCTCTCTCATTTACTCTCTCTCATCCCCCTTTCATATCTTTCTCTACAACACTCTCGCTCGCTGACTTGCCTTCCTTTTTCTCTTTTTCACCTTCTCGCTCTCTTTTGCTAGCTTTCTGTCTTCTTTCTCCCTCTTGCATATTCTCTCCTCTCTTTTGTCTCTTTTTTCCTGTATATCGCTCTGTCCTCCAACTCTTTCTTGTCTTTCTTGTCCTCTCTCTCTCTCTCTCTCTCTCTCTCTCTCTGGGTTACTACACTGTACTATTACTCCTTTGTTGTCTACAGCAGTGGTGATTTACAGATTGTGCTCTATGTCGTTTATCTCTGGGGCGAGTGCCCTGCTGACGCCTCCACCCCAACTCATCAATCCAGGTTTATGGCTTATTCAATGAGAGCCCTTCCCCTGCAGCACACACAGAACACACACTGTGGACAACTGCAGGCTCTCAGAAAATATGTGCTGAAGGTAATTGCATGGCATAAGATAGGAAACAAAAGCATGCTGAGCCACAGTGTCAGAACTCTGCATAAGTGGAAAAAAGCTTTTCAAAATAATTTAATTTAAAAAATGATTCTTTTAAAGTAATTCTCCTCTTACTACTGCTAGCAATATAAACATGACATAATATAACAAGTCTTAAACATGAGTAAGCTGATTCAAATGTGTACATCATCTCCACATTAATAAAAACATCAGCACAGTTATTGTCAAAAGTATGTAAACTGAAAAATGAAAATGATGTTGATTGTTCTTTCTGATTTTTTTGTCATATAGAAATGACATAAAAAAATTCAATGCATTACCTTTTCAGTATACTATACTGTGTGACTAGAACTTGCAGGTAACACATTTTTAATTTGTACTTTGTTACCTGCGTTTCCTCTCATCCTGCCATCCTCCTCCTTTCATCCACCTCCTCCTCCTTTGTCCCATCCCTCTCTTCACCCCTCTAGGCTTTGCCAGTGTTTATCAGGATCACACATGCAGGAGTAGCCTGTGGTAGACTAGCTGTAGGTGAGATGCTGTTTTAAGCCTACCTTGCTTTTCTCGTTCCTTGTCTTTCTGTCTTTTATGTCCAGGCTTAGCACTGAAACAAAACTTTCAGCTGAGCGTCTTCTCTCAGTGCCTAACAACCAGTTTTTCCCTCCGTCTCTCTGTTCTCACAACTCCCTCTTTCATCTGGATGCTTCTTCGCTGTTATGCCCCTCACAGCTTCTGCTGATAAAAACATTCCTACACTGCCTCCCTCTCTCTCTCTCTCTCTCTCTCTCTCTCTCTCTCTCTCTCTCTTTCTCTCTCTCTTTCTCTCTCTCTCTCCTGCTCTCCTGTATGTGATTGCACTCGGAGCCCCTATAGCATTATGTATTCACCTCCTTTGCTCAGGTCCCGATATATCAGTGTCAATGACAATTTGTCTGTGCTTGATGGCTTTCTGTCCTGCGGCATCCCTCTTCTCCCCTTTTCTCCTCTGTGCTCTCAGTCTCTCATTCTCTCTTTGTGATGGGGGGATGAAGAGTTAGGTGCTTTAGGACATGACACATCATGGTATAGGAGTCATGATACAATACAATGTGATTGCATTAGCATAAGGAAAGGAATACGCATGAAAAAAGAAACTGTATCTTTGAGGACCAATACAGTCCTGTGCAAAAGTTTGAGGACCCCTGGTGAAATGACATATTCTGTTGATTTTCCTGGTGAAAATAAATTGTCACACCTTAAACAAGGGACAAACATAAATACAGCATTTTCCTGCCAATTTTAGTGCACAAACTGGAAGAAAATGGCCTTTGCACAGACCATGGTTTATGTTTATTGTTTTCCAATATCAGAATCAGAATCACTTTATTCTGAAAAGTATGTTACTCATACAAGGAATTTGTCTTGGTGAGTTCACACATACTGACCAGACAAGCCAAGTACACAGACTCTTAACAAGTATTTAACTGAAGGTACACTCTTATAAAAGATGGTTCTTCTTCTTTAGTAAAAAAATGGTTCTAAATAGAACCGTGAACACTTTGTATGATCAAAGGGTTCTTTGCATCATGAAATGGTTCTTCAGACTGATGAAGAATGTGCTGGAGATGGTTCTATGTAGAACCTTTTTGAAAAGGGTTCTATATAGCACCAAAAAGAGTTCTTCTATGGATACAAGGTTGACATCAGTAGCAGAACCCTTTTGGGTGCTATATAGAACATGTATATAGAACCTACTGAAGATGGTTCTATACAGCACATTCACCATCAATCTGAAGAACGCTTTCATGATGCAAAGAACCCTTTAATCATGCAAAGGGGTCATGGAGTGTTCATGGTTCTATATAAAACCATTCTCTTTACTAAAGAATCCTTGAGAGAAAATGGAACTCCCAACATCTGTACTAGACCAAGTCCTGTTAGACCACCGAAACTGTCACCATCAGATAAACTGCAAAACTTAAATCTTTCTCTCGCTTCAGATCTGAAAAGTCCACAGGTGTGACAAAAAGAGGAAAATTTGCAAATCAAACAAAGAAGCTGTCGGTGCTCTCAAAACAAAAGACTGACCACTCTAGAGTTCAGACCTTAATGTGTTTGGGATTACATGGATCGTCACAGAAAATGCAACCAACACCTAAGAGGTGTGGAAAAATATTCCTGCAAATTTCTTGGAAAAACTGAAAGCACTGAAAGTCTTCTGAAAAGAATGAAAGCTATAATAAAGGCAAAGTGTGGAAAATCTGGGAATTTTTTTATATAAATATTAGATTTAGCTGTTAAGGCTTCTGTGTATATTTTTGTTAAATATACTGTATGTATCCTGCTTTTTTCTAAAAAAAAATGCTATAATAAATTAGGGTTTCTCATTTTTGCACAGTACTGTTATATCACGGAAGATTCCATTAACTGGCATATAAAAATGAAAAGAAAAATCTCTTTACTGACACACACACACACACACACACAGGTATGTACAACCCAATTCCAAAAGAGTTGGAACAGTAGAAAAAATGCAAATAAAAAAGCAGTGATTTATAAGTCTGACCTGTATTTAAACAAAAACAGTACAAAAACAAGATATATGTTTTACCTTCATTGTTTTTTTAAATATATGCTTAATCTGAGACTGATGCCTATGACACATTCCAAAAAGTAGGGACAGGGGAAATTTAAGACTACAAATATTGAGAAGTGTTTAAAAAACATCTTAAACAGGTGATGCAGCCATGCTTGGATATAAAAGGAGCATCCAGGAAAGGCCCAGTCCTTTATGAGCAAGGATGAACCGAGGCTCGCCACTTTGCTAAAATGCATCAACAAAACATCCAATAGTTTTCAGCCAGGAATTGCAAGGATTTGAGGTATTTCTCTACAATACATATCATTAAATCAAGTAATATGGAGAAATCTGTGTAAAAGGAAAAGGCCAAAAAACACAAATGAATTTGTGTGACTTTTGACCCCTTACACAGCATTGCATTAAAAACTACTTTGACTAAATACTTTGTCAAACCATTAACAATATACACTGTTTATCACTGCATCCACAAAAGCAAATTAGGACTGTACTATGCATAGTGGAAACCATATGTCAGCAATGTTTAGAAACGCTTCTGACGTCTCTGAGCTTAAGCTCATCTGAAATGGAGTTCCCTATGTCAAAAAGTACCATTCAGATTGTTACCAGCATAAAGTTCAAAAGCCAGTATCTGTGACAGTATGGGGGGTAACCTGCACATCTGTAAAAGCACCATTGATGCTGAACACATTTTGAGGCAACGTATGCTGCATTTTACATGCCAGGTTTTTTTGGAATACACATGGTTATTTCAACATGACAACCAGAAGCCACATTCTGTATGTGTTACAACAGCACGGCTGTGTAATCAGAGTGCGGGTGCTAGAATAGCCTGCCTGCAGTCCACATCTGTCTCCCATTAAAAATGTCTTATTAAGCTTAAAATATGACAACAAAGGAACTGTACGGCTACAAAGCTGATGACTTGTATATGAAAAGAATGGCAAAAAATTCGTCTCTCAAAACTGATCAGTTTGTATATTCAATATATTCAATTAAACATTTGTTAAGTGTTGTTAAAACATTAAATATTACAATTTTGTACCATTTTTCTATTTAATGCAGGTCAAACAGAATTTACTAATCACTACTTGCTTTTTGTATTAGCATTTCACATACTGACTCTACTTTTTGGGAACTGGTGTATTATAACAGTCTACACTTAGCTACACATAGAATGCTGTTCACTGTTCTGTTTACTATGGTTTACTTTTTCCAATTAAAATGTGTTACACTCTGCAAATGTACAGTATCACGTCTCTATCTCTCGTCTCTCTCCGACATTCTGTTTACCTTTCACGACTGACATTTCTGCTGTAAACATGCCTCTGAATTACTGCAGCTTTTGTGATGTTTTTCCATCTGTTCATCTTATTCTCCCTCTCTCTGTTCCTCTCTGTCTCCCTTTTTTTCTTTCCTCTCTGTCTCCCATGTTCTGTCATTGCTCTGGGATTGCTCTCCATCTCCTCATGTGTCTCCCTCAGCTGTCATATTGCTGCCTCCCTCTTTTCAAGTTTCCTCAAAGGAGAAGCGCACATCAAGCCTGTGACAATACACCTGAGATTATTACACTGTCTTGTACGTCTCAGGATAGCCTGCACCTCAGAAGTACTTTCCCTGTATACTACGAGAACAGCTTTCATTCACTTCCAGGAGCTTCAGGCTTTATTGTGCTATGAGTTATGAGTTATGTCTCAGACGGAAGCCCTTAGTGGACACTTTGTTATGAAATTTACTGCCTCATGGTGCTTGCTGGTATTCATCCAATTACTTATCCTCCCTTGGTTAGCAGTTCTTCTGTTTGTCAGAAGCAAAGCAGCTTGAGTGAAGCGGAGTACTTGCACAGTCCTGCACGTTGGCTGGATTCTTGTAATGACTTCAGTCTCTCTGGATTTTTCAGCCAAAAATCACACTTACATAGTTTTATGCCACAAACAAAATCTAGTCAACAAGCCACATGAAACCCAAAGTTTGCTTCTTATGTTTTGTTAAGGAGCCATGAGGCCAAATAAGTAATGGAAGCGTAATGCAAACAGAGTGTGAAGGCTGACATGTAATTCAAGTGTGAAACATAATCTGTAATATTTAATAATATCAGTAAAGTTGGAACACCACAGAAAAACTACTCAAATCTGAGCTATTTAAAAATATTGCCACTTTAGTTTCAAAGTCACATTTTATGTTGGTATTTTATTTAAATTTGAAAAGCCACTGACATAATCTTTTTATGAAACATGAAGCTGTCAGTATTTTAGCCAAATTGAGCTAAATAATGGACTTCTCAGCATTAGTCTTTCTTCCTTTAAGAAATCCATACAAGACATTAAATCCATAAAGTAACCTTCTGTTTTTTTTCCATATTTAGGGGTATTTGATGTGTCTGTAACACCACTGACAAAAAAATCTAGATAATAATCAAGATTACTTATGAAAATACAGTTTCTAACACAGGTCTGATCATTTTAATGCATTGTTACCATTTAAACTGAATAACAAGCAAATGTTTGTCCCTAATAAAAATAATAATTCTGAGATTATACTCATCGGATTTGCATCTAAATATTTAAATTGCTATGTTTTGTGCATGTCCAAAGGAGGAGAGCTGGAGAGCTTTCTGCATCAATCTCATAACAGTGATGGGAATAAAAATAATATGAACAACATTATTAACCTTAATGTATGTTAATATAATAAGTTCATATTTTCTGAGCATTTGTGAATTCACTATAATCAAATTTCAAAAAGAAGATTTATCATAATGTTTTGTTGGGTAATTTAGGAATACAACAAGGACATACACAGTCATCCACTTGGTTTATTCTTATTTTCAGCTCGCAGACCTGTATACTGGACCAACTAGCATTGCATAAACTGCAGGCCTAAACTTGCGTTAAACCATGAGGACTTGTTGAGCAATCATAAATAGACTTGCTTATGTAGTTTTGGTCACTGTATGATATACTGTTATCCAGGGATGGGCAGGCCTTCAGCACAAATGAGACAATTCCTGGTGGGCTTCTATGTGTGTGGGCCAATGTGAGAATGAGAAAGAGAGGAATTAATGGTTGTTTCTAATGTTTCCTATATAAAAAAAACATGGAGGCAAACAGCATGTGCCAGGCCAATACTGGAGTACACATTAGTGACCCACTTCATCTGCACTGGCCAGT